CTGCAGGACATGCAGCCGTGCAGGTCTGGTTCCATGTAGATTGTGACACAGAGACTGCGCCCTCAGGGCCTCTATGCTTAGTCTTGGAATTGCAGACTCGGCACGTGCACAGCGCAGATTACTATTCTAGGTACTCCATAGACGAAGATAATAATCCCGTGCTCATTCCTTTGGACTCGCTGAGGCACCCTGTGATTAACAGGCGTCTCGGCGATGCAATCACTTGCATTTGGCCAGTTGAGTATCGCAAATTGGAATGCTGACGCGTTTGCGATGTAGAAGTATACATCTTCACATCAATGAATACATCTTCAAAACATCCCGCAAGAAACACAACATCGAAATTGAAACAACATTGAACGCCCCAAAATCAAGTATATGTTAGCCGAAAAACTATCATGTTATCCGAAATAAATCAACATGTTAACTTTTATAAATGAGTTATAACTAAGTTATAACTCCGCCTAGCAGTTACTAACTTCAAATGCCTTCAGGAGGAGGAGGAGGGGGAGGAGGAGGAGGAGGAGGAGGAGGAGGAGGATCGACGCTTGGCGGGGGTGGGGATCGATGGTTGGCGGGGGTGGGGCTCGGACGCGGCCGCCCCTCGGGAGAGGCCCTCGCTCGCGGGCCGCCCCCCGGAGACGCAGCTCGGGGGGCCCTGGTGCGTGGCCGTGCGCGCCCGATCGGTGTAGCTCGCAGCAGCAGTGGGTCGGGCCCGTCCCCCAACAGGGGGAATATCCAAAAACCAGTACAACAAAATAGTGGGGGACGATGTTTGGAATATGTTTTGATCAGTTTGGAGTATTGTTTAGCATTTTTTGCTTGTCGTAGGTAGCAGTAGCAGTAGGTCGGGCCTGTCCCCCAACAGGGGGAATATCAAAAAACAGTACAACAAAATCATAGGGGGACGATGTTTGGAATATGTTTTGATCTTTTGGGGATATTTGTTTAGCATCTTTTACTTGTCGTCGAAAAAGCCCCCTGTAGAGGGACGCGCCCGACTGAGCAGCAGCGCGAGACCCGCAGCATGGGCTGGCCCGCTCCCGGGCTGCTGCCGCCCGGCCCGGCCGCGCCACTGGCTGTCCGTCAGGCAGCCTCGCGGCAGGCTTCGAGGCCGAAGTTTAAGTCGGGCGTGTCCCTCTACAATAGTCTGGGGACGATTGTCTGACCATTTTTGAGTTTTTGGGGGCTATTCTTGAGTTTTTTTTAGTTTTCTCCCAAGATCCCCCTGTAGGGGGACACGCCCGACTTAAGCCAGAGTCGGGCACGTCCCTCTACAGGAGGAGTCCTCGGGAAAAGAACAAAATCGTATGGGGGCGATTGTCTGACAATGTTTGCATATCTTTGTGAATGCGTTGGCTATTTCTTATTTTTCGTCCAAGATCCGCTTGCAGGAGGCCATGGCCGACCTAATTCGAGGCCTCCTTCGCGCGGCGCTATCCCATCCATGCCCATGTGGCAGCAGCAGGGGAGGGAGAAGGAGAAAGGGGGAACGCAGCAGCAAAAGCAGCAGCGCAAGCGCGGGGCCTTACACGCATTCGCCCGGGAGCCTCGCCGAAGGCGCAGACCACCGGCGCCCCTGAGGATGCACGCATCGCTCTCCCCTGGGCGCCAAGTTCGCCCCCATCGTCTCCCCCGGAATTCCCGCCCCGCTCCACGCGGTGCCGGAGCGCAAGGTGCGGCGCGCGACCGCCGTGTTGCCAGGGTCTTCGAGGCATACCCCTGCCGCCCCGCGCGCGTGCCTCGAGGCGCGGCATCGCTCGGGGGCGCCCAGGGGCGCCGGGACCGCCCGCCGCGCGCAGCTGGCTCGCTGCTTCCGCCCCTCGGTCAGGGAAGCACAGGACTCGACTACGACGGAACTCGGGTTTGCTGACGCTTCTTGACGAGCGAGTCCCAGATTTTCACAGTCCAGTGTTCGTGGGATGTCCGCCGCGGGAGCTCGCGGATTCCAGACGGGGTCTCGTCATGTTCGTGAGGGCCCCGTCGTGCCGTACCGAGTCCCCCGAACCCGTGTCTTGCGTCTCCCCCCCTTCGGGGGCAACGATAGGGGGGGATACACACGGTCAGGAACCTTGGCTTGGCGTGTCGCTCGGTCGGTTTTGGCCCACCACGCTTCGGGGTGCGACACCCCCCGCTCCACGTGGGCCCGGAGCACAGGATGTGGCGGGCGCGGTCCCTGACCGTGCAGCTGCACCTTCCCGCGGGCGACGATAGGGGGCACATGGCCGAGGGGAGGGCGCTACCTGTATCCAGGGGCGCCGATGGTCCATGCCTTCGGAGAGGCTCCCTCGCGAATGCGTGTAATTCCCGACCCTGAGCCATTCGCCCCTACATTCGCCTCCGGGGTCACCCTGGGGATCGACTGGGTGAACCCGGTGGTGCTCGGCTCAACGATAAATCCAAGCACAGTATATGATTACCACCACCAAGATCGAGAATAATCTGCGATGCGATTTGGTGCAGTTTTGCTCTGGCAAAAAGCCTGCAGTCCCCCTCCCGCCGCCAACGGCAACCGGGCTGCCCCCTCTCCTCTAAGGACCGAAACAGAATTCATCAAAGCACGCGCGGTGGTGGTGTATAAATTTGGGTTACCAAGAGGAGCGAATTTCACACACCACCACCAAGAACTGCTGTTTCTGCTTCAGGAACTCCCCATGCCACGGCGCCTGCGAGCTGCGCCGCGCTCCTTTTCGCCGTGGCGTCGCAGCGTCGTCTGGAATGACCCTGCCCCTGACCCTTTTGCGGTAAATTCCTGTTGCGGGCGGTGGTGGTGTATAAGAATTGGCTTCGCAATAAACCAACCACCTGAACTTCGCAGCGTCCGACATGCACAGGCTCCAGGAAGCCACGCACACGGACGTCGGCGGCCTCCTGGGCCGCGACGGCCCGTCGTGGGCCTCGTCTGCTCCGGCGAGCTGCGGCTCGCAGTCGGACCTTCGGGCTTCCCGCGGCCAGGTGTTGCAGGCGATGTTCTGATCCTGAGGGGCCAGAGCGCCGCGGCCATGGGTCAGTGGGGATCCGGGGACACCGATCCGTTTTGGGGCTTGGGTCGTTCTCCGAGGACGTCTCGGGCGGTTGGGGCCTCCAGGGCCCGAACACCGTGCGGTGACAGTGCTGTGAGACCGTCAAGGGTTTCGAAGTCACCGTGCGGTCCGTCACTCCACCGTTTCGGGACCCCGAGATCTCGCCTTTCGGGGACCTCGAGGCGCTTTTGAAGCGCTCCTGGGGCCGCCTTGGAGCCCTCTTGGGCTTCCCCCCTGTGGCTCTGTTGGCATTCGGGGGTCCTTTCGGTGCCTCGAACGCATTCGTTTTTTTTCAGGCTTCGGAAGGCTCTGGGCCTCGTACTCAGCACATCCTCGGGAGGCCCGTGGCCACTCGGAACCGCCCAGGAGGGACATCGGGGGCCCTTGCAGCGTGCTGGAGGCCACTTCGAGCAGTCCTGTGCCATCGCAGCCCATCCTGGTGGTCATCGGGGGTGGAAAAGAGGGGGGTGATGACTAGGGGGGGTGGATATCATGGCGGGGGCCATGATATTTCCCTAGATTTCATGGCGCCCCTTCTTATTTCATTACGTCCCTGGCCCCCCCGCTGGGCCGCGCACGTGCCGCCGGTCATGATTTGCACCCCCCCCTCTTGGACACCCCCCTCTTGGCCGCTCCCGATGTCACTCGGGGAGGCCACTTCGAGCAGTCCTGCACCATCGCAGTCCATCCTGGTGGTCCTTCGGGGAGCCTCCCGGACCATCTCGGAGCTGCGCTGGGCCATCCTGGGGTCCTCTGTCCGCTCGCGGGGCGCCCCGTCCGGACGCAGGGGCACGGCAGTCTCGTAACGTGTCGACCGGCGGCGATCCCGCCAGCGGCGTTCAACCCTGAACGCCGCGGACGACCCAGAATCGTCCGATGTGCAACGATGTGGAGGTTTCGGAAACGCCCGACCGTTCCAGGTTGAACGATCCCCGCGGTGCCAGCAACCAGCGCCGAAATCGGCACGACATGAACCTGACGTAGGTGGCAGGGGGAGGGGTAGTACAGTGGGCCCTGCTAAATCAAGGGTACCCCTGTGTCCTGTGTCTCGCGACCCATGCCTCCTGCATTCCTGTGGCGATGTGGCCCTCTCGCGTTTCCTGTCCAATCAAGGCCGACTGTAGGTGACAACGGGGGGGGGGGTAAGATTCCCTCCCCGAGGGGGAGCGGAGTGGACGAGGACGCCTCAGACAGCCTCAGCCTTGCGTCGGGCCTGTCCCTCGACAGGGGGAATTTACAGACATAGTCAAAAAAACGTACGTTTGGGGACTATCTTGTGAGCATCTCTGGGCATCTGTGGAGCATGTTTGAAATATGCTTCATTGTTCGTCCAAAATCCCCCGTGTATGGGGACAGGCCCGACCCAACCTCAGCCCCAGAGGGCTGGTGGGATGCCTGCCGTCCTCCCGCCGCGGCGGCGCGCGGGCCCAGGGGCGCAGGCCCCGGGGCCGAGGCTGGCAGGGCAGCCCTCGAGCCGCACGGCCCTCCTCCTTCCCCTTCCCCCCCCCCTCCTCCGCCCCCCCCCCCCTCCGTCTCGCCCCCCCCTATGCCCCCTCCTCCGTCTCTCCTTCCCTCCTTCCTTTCTTTTTTTATTCCTCTTCCTCTTCCTCTTTCCTCCCCTCCCTTCCTCCCTTCCTCCTTTCTCCTCCTCCCCCTCCTCCTCCCCTCACCCTCCTCCTCCTCCTCCTCCTCCTCCTCCTCCTCCTCCTCCTCCTCCTCCTCCTCCCCCTCCCCCGCGCTGTCCCTCCTTCCGTCCTTTCTTCGCCCCCTCCCTCAGTCTTTCCTCCCTCTTCCGTTCTCCCTTCTCCTTCTTCTCTCTCCCTTCCTCCCTCGTCCTCTCCCTGTTTCCTTCGTCCCTCCCCCTTCCCTCCCCCTTTCCTCCCTCCCTCCCCCCTCCTCCTCCGCCCCCTCTCGCATTCTCTCCCCCTCCCCCCCTCCTCCTGGAACCCGGGCGTCCGCCGCGCGGGGTGCTCGCAGGCCGAGCGGGGCCTGCCTGTGACGATCCACGTCTACGACGTCTCACAGGAGGACACCATCAAGCGCCTGAACAAGATGCTGGCGCAGCCTCCAAAAGGGGAGGAGGAGGAGGAGGAGGAGGAGGAGGAGGAGGAGGAGGAGGAGGAGTTGGAGGAGGAGGAGGAGGAGGAGGAGGAGGAGGAGGAGGAGGGGAGGGACGACGAGGAGGAAAAAGGTGCCCATACCCCTCCACCTTCCCCTCGGCTTCCCCTTTTTGGGGGCCTCCTGGGCCTCTGTCGTCGCCACCGCTGAGTTCGCTTCGACATCCTGGTCAGAACGCACCCCAGGAGAAGTCTGGGGAGTAGCGGTATTGGTGCCTTTTGGTGTCCCCAGGGGGGGGGACGAGGGGGAGGACGTGCAGGATGAACGATGCGAAGGAGGGAAGAGGGGGGGTCGGCGGAGGGGGAAGACGAGGCGGAGGAGGAGGAGGGGGAGGGGGGAGGGGGAAGAGGAAGGCGAGAGTAGACCCAATCTGCATCAACGATGTTGCAAGACACCCGCCCGTCCCAATCCTCCGACTGCCCTCAAGTTTTCCTTTTTTGCCGCAAGGTGCGCCCGCTTGAAGGCGAGCGCTCGGTTGCCCGCCATTCAGGCGGGCGTTCCGTTTTTGAGAAGGAATGGCCTTACTCTTTCTAGCGATGAAGACGACGTCATCGTCCTCGTCCGTCGTCCGTCCTCCGCTGTCTTCCGTCGTCCGTCGTCCGTCGTCTTCGTCTTTCTAGCGAGTATGAAGTAATACGAGCCATCTGGGATAGCGATGCTTTCCGCGAGAGCTCCGTGCTGACACAGAGCTGCCCCCCCCCCCACACAACCCACGCAACTAGCGTTCACGGGCGTTGTTGGTGTCGGCTGTTGTTGTTGTTGCTGTTGTTGTTGTTGTTGTTGGTGGTGGTGGTGGTGGTGGTGGTGGTGGTGGTGTTGTTGGTGGTGGTGTTGTTGGTGGTGCGGTTGTTGTCGCTGTTGTTGTTGTTGGTGTTGTTGTTGTTGTTGATGTTATTGTTGTTGGTGGTGGTGGTGATGGTGGTGGTGTTCTTGTGAGTGTCGCTGTGAGTATCGCTGGTGTTGTTGCTGGTGGTGGTGCTGTCGTTTTTCGGGTTGTTGTTGTTATTGTTGTTGTTGTTGTCGATGCTTTTGGTGGTGGTGATGGTGTTGCTGTTGGTGGTGGTGGTGCTGAGGTTGATGCTGGTGTTGTTGCTTCTATTGGCGTTGCTGTTGTTGCGAGAGTTGCTGCTGTTGTTTTGTGCGGCTGTTGTTGTAGTTGTTGTTGGTGATGCTGTCGGTGTTGTTGTACTTGGTGTTGCTGTTGCTGCTGCTGTTGGTGTTGGTGATGGTGGTGTTGGTGTGCTGTCGTTGGTGGCTTTGTTGTGGTTGCTGCCATGTGCTTCAATGTCTTGATTTGTCTTGTATCTTTGTAGTCTAAGACGCTGTGGGGGAAAAACCACAGTGGGGACACCACACACAAAAAACACGTGGGGAGCAAACACACACACACGTGTTTTGTCGTGTGGTTTGTTTCCCCCACGGGTGTGTGTATGTTGTTTTGTTGTTCCCCCACAGTGTGTATTTTCCCCTACTGTGTTTTTGTATGTTTTTTTTTGGCCCACAGACATCGCGAGGACGCCGAGGGCGCGAGAACCCCAGTTCGAGAAGGCACCGCCCTCAGTCCGTGCAGCCGGACGTGCTCGGCGTTCTGGCCGCCGCGGCGGGGCCCGCCGCCCGCGAACGGCACCTCTGGAAAGCAGAGCCACCCTCCACTCTTCGTGCGCGGGTCTGGCCCTCCTCCTCCTCCTCCTCCTCCTCCTCCTCCTCCTCCCTCCTCCTTCCTCCTCCTCCTCCTCCTCCTCCCCTCCACCTCCTCCTCATCCTCCTCCTTTTCCTCCTCCTCCTCCTCCTCCTCCTCCTCTCACCCTACCCCCCCTCCTTCTACTCCTCCTCCTCCTCCTCCTCTCTCCTCCTCCTCCTCCCCTGCCCCTCCTCCTCCCCTCCTCCCCCTCCTCCTCCTCCTCCTCCTCCTCCTCCTCCTCCTCCTCCTCCCCTCCCCTCCTCGTCCTCCTCCTCCCCTCCTCCTCCCCCTCCTCCTCCTCCTCCTCCTCCTCCTCCTCCTCCTCCTCCTCCTCCTCATCCTGCTCCTCCTCCTCCTCCTCCCTCTGCTCCTCCTCATCCCGCTCCTGCTCCTCCTCTTCCTCATCCTCCTCCACTCTGCGGGTGTTGCTAGAGCTATCAAGCAGTGGCGACGCTTCCCGGCGTGCCCATAGCTAGGAACCTGCTGTGGTTTCCACGACATGTTCTCGGAACAGTTCTGGCTGGGATTTTCTTGTCTTAACGCATGGGGCTCATGTTCTAAGAACGTTGTGCTTGAGCTTAGAACATTTTTGGGATCTAAAAACATTTCGTGGTAGAACTGTAGGAATGCCGGGACGGTCGGTCCCTGCTCAAATTCTTCGGGTGTTGCTAGAAGTACCCCCTGGCCCAAGGTACCCCCAGGATTCTCGGGGTGTTCCAGATGGCCTCCAGGGCACCCCTCACGAGGCCTAGAGGGCCCCAGGGGCTCCAGAATGGAGCGAGAAGCTGGGGGCACGTTGGGCCAGGGACACTTCTAGCAACACCCGGACTCTGGTACAGTCGGATTGAGGTATAAGATCGAGGTCGGCTCGGGGACGGGGCCCTCGTGTTCCTCGTGCTCGTGGGTTGCTCTTGTGCATCCTGGGGAGGGCACCCTTAGAAATTATGTCCGGTTTGGCCGACAGAGGGTCGCATGTTCTTGGGAGATATTCTTCTGGCCTGGGTCCGACTGCAGTTGCGACGAATGTGCGCGGCGCTGAGGCGAGCACCCCGCTGTGAGAACCGCCTTCCGTCTTTGTGTTTGCTGCAAGCGTTTGCGACGAAGTTTGGCCGGTCGAACGCGAGAGCCCTATTTTGAAGCGCACCCTCGCCATTCTCGTAGTTATTGAAAAGAGATTGTGGAAATATTTAAGACAATTGTGCGCGGCGTTCAGGCGAGAGCTCTCCACGCTCCGTTCTTCCTTTCTCCATCTTTCCCTTGTCGTTGTCCTTCCCCGTTTCCCAGCACGCTCCCACTCCTCTCGTCCTCCCTCTCTCATCCTCCCTGCCTCCATTCTCGCGTCTGTGTTCCCCTCGCAGAGTCAGGAGTCGGGAGGCAGGAACAGGAGAGGGGCAGGCATTCCCTCTCCCCTGGCCCTTTCGCCCTCCTCCTCTCATCGTCGTCGTCGTCGTCGTCGTCGTTGTCGTCACCTTCTGGTCTAGGCCCCAGGGGTACATGTTCGACCCGCAGATCTGTCCTGAATTCCCTTTGGCCCAGCAAGGACGAAGAGCGCCCAACATGCCCTGGACCTCGAAGCTGAAAGTTCAAACCTTCTCTCGTCCTCACCCGTTACTCCTCTCGTCCTCCTTCTCCTCTTTTCCGGCGCCTTCTTCCTGCACCAGGGTAGTAGATGGAGGAAGAGGGCGATGAGGAGCAGGAAGGAGGAGGCGGAGGATGAGGAAGGGGAGGCCGTGGAGGATTAGCAGTAAGGTGGAGGTGGAGAAGGTGGAAGAGTGGAGGGGGAGGAGGGGGAGGGGGAGGAGGAGCAGGAGAGAGGCGGTGGAGGGGGAGGAGGGGGAGGCGGAGCAGGAAGGAGAAGGAGGAGGAGGAGGAGGAGGAGGAGGAGGATTAGGCGGGCGAGGAGAAGTAGGAGGGGGAGGGGGCAGGAAGAGGCCGCAGGCAGGAGCATGCGCGGGAGGAGGGAGAGGCAGGGGATCCGCCTCCCGCTCGCCCGCTCCCCCTCCCCTCCTCCCTCGAAGCTCGAGGCCTCGGGGCCCGAACCCCGAAGTGACAACGTCTCGAGGCGCGGGCCTCGAGCCTCGAGCCTCGGGGCTCGACCCTCCTCGAGCCCCACCTCGGGCCCCGAAGTCCCGCGGTCTCGAAAAGCTCGGCGGATCTCGAGCCGCGAGGCGCGAGTCCCCAGAGATTCGGGAACGCCCTGGCAAACTGGAAGCCCGACTTTTTCAGCCCGCACCCCCCCAAAGCCTCTTCGAGCCCTCCTCGCACCTCGAAGCCTCTCCTCGGCCCCTCCCCCCGCTCCGCAGACGTCGTCGGCGTCGGCGTCGTCGTCCTCGTCCTCGTCCTCGTCCTCGTCCTCGTCCTCGTCCTCGTCGTCCGCCTCCTCGTCGTCGTCGTTGTCGTCGTCGGCGCCGGCGTCGGCGTCGGCGTCGGCGTTGGCGTTGGCCGCGGCGGCAGCGTGGCCGTCGTCTTCGTCTTCGTCTTCGTCTCCGTCGTCGTCCCCCCCCCCCGCCTAAACCCTAGATCCCAAACCCCCTCCCCGGCTGCCGGCGGCGCAAGAGGCGCACGAGTATTCCCCCCTGAAGCTCGGCGGCGTCTTCCACGCGGGCGTCGAGGCCCTGCGGCAGTCCCCGCGGGGGAGAACGGCCGCCGCCGATTTCGGGGCTCAAGGGACGGGGGTCCATGCAAGCGGGGGTGAGTCAAAGCCGGGCTCGTTTCGATTTCCCGGATTCGATTCGATTCGAGTTCGATTGATTCCGATTCGGATTCGATTTGATTTGGGATTCCGATGTGGGTTCTGATGTCTCACTGGACGCATACAAGTCTGCTGGTTTCCGCCTCCGACTCGGCTGCCGATTTCCGCCGATCCGATTCATGTCGGTCGCCGATTCGACTTATCGATTCGATCCTGGGCTCTCCTGGTCAGAGCGCCGGATCTTGCAGGATCCTGCAGGGCCAGGGCTGCACCGACCCGGGCTTGGGCGCAGGCTCCTGCAGGATGCTGCTGGACCCTGCAGAGCCTGACTGACCCGCTGGTCTGGATTGACCTGGGTCAGTACAGTGAACCCGCACAATGAGGATGGGCAACCTTCCCATGGATACCCTTGCATCCTCGTCCCTTCGGCCCATCCTTGACCACTTCTCTGGCCAGGGCCCGCTCGAAAAGCGCCGAACTGGCCCTGCAAGGCCCTTGCATCCTTATCGCGCATCCTTACTACAGTGGGGGCGCGCATCAAGAAGCCATGTGCTTTTCGTCAGGGTATCCTGGGTTTCTTCGCTCCTCGCCCTGCGCGGCGACTTCCCGCAGCCGTTTCAGGAGCTGCTGCGTTCAGGGTGCTCCGGTTTTCCCCTCAGGTGCACCTCGCGCACGGGTTCTCAGGGTTGGGCTTCTTGCAAGGGAGGAGGTGGAGGAGGAGGAGGAGGAGGAGGCGGAGGAGGAGGAGGAGAGTTGCTTGCGGCCGCGCCCGCACTGGGAGCTCCGGGGCCCTTCGCGAGCCGGACCGCGTGGCGGCCCCGTGGAGCCCTAGCAAGAGGCCCCGCCGCGCGGCCCGCCGCCGCACGCTCCTGGGGGCCCGAGTCCCGAGGCCCCTCCTCCCCCTCCTCCTCATCCTCCTCATCCTCATCCTCATTCTCCTCCTCCTCCTCCTCCTCAGCACACTATTGGGCCGACAGCCCCGCAGACCCGTCTTCGATGGGATCGTGACAAGATGATGTCGGCTCTGCAACGTGGACAGAACAAGGCTAGCTTTCTCAATTCGGTTCAGGAACAACTTGACCAGCGAGGCGCATATAACTATTTGCGAGAGTACGGTTCCCCCGATGAGATTTTTGAGGTTCTGGAGGATTGTATTACGACGGCGGGACAGACTCATTTCAGCATGACGACGCTCGACGGTGATGCGCAGCGGCAGGCAGACTGCAGGGCACGACGGCTTCTTTTGCATCAACGTGCAGACTTACGCGAAGGCAAGATGGATGCCTCCCCTGAGGAGGCCCAGCACATCGACAACGAGCTGAAACGCATTTCTCAAAAACAACGTCTTCTCCGACGCAAAGCCTCTCGTGCTCTTCAATCGCAGTTGGTGGCGGAAGCTACGGACTTGTGGAATCACCAGAAGCAGGCGGAAGCAATGAGAGTGGCACGTAGAGCGGCACGCACTCGTATAGGACCTAAGAAACGCGATGGGCTTCTTGTTCGAACAGCAGCACCTACCTCACAGGCGTGGCTGGATGTGTGGTCTCTTGAAGGTTCTCAGGGCGGGATGGCTGTTCAACCCCAGGATTGGCTTGAATGGCGTGCAGAACGTGATGGTCAGCAGTATTGGTGGGAGTCTTCAGAGGAAATTATTGATTTGCGTAAAGAGGATGTGGATCGAGTTATTCGGTGGATGCGACACGCAGCTAAACGACGAGCAGTTCCAGATTTCCCGGCACCATTGGAGCTCTGGCTGATGCTGTTCCTCCCAAAGAAGGCTCTTAAGCAGCGTCGTGGCCAGGGCGTGGGATCCGACATGAGTGCGCCGACAAACTCAGGTTTCAAATTTCTGGTAGAAGTGGGCTTGGCGAAGATCAGGATGCACAACATTAGCCCTCTCTACTGGCATCGGACAGAAGGAGCAGGCCTACGCAAATCCAGTCTAGCAGGTTCCCGTGGTCGTCGAGTGGTTCATGAAATGGCAGCTTTCGGGAAGGCGTACTACTCGACTTTGCTTAGACCCCCACCAGCTGTTCAGGACCACGGCTACTATCGACACCGCCGACGGGAGGACGCAGTCATGGGGGCTTTGATCACCTCGTGGCGTCTGCGGGCCCAAGGTATCACACATGCCATGACGCTCAAGTACATGTCTAACGCGTTTGGCAGTTCTCTATGGGACCAGCTGGACACAACCGTACTTCTTCACTCTCGTGAATGTGATCACGCACTCTGCCAACAACGATATAAGAATGCTATTATTTCGCTGGGCGCGCTTGAGGGCCCTCTCACAGATCGACCTTCACAGGGGAACACGATGGGGGATCTTTTTGCTGTCCGAGCTTTTGTGGGTACATTCGCACGCCCAATTTTGTCCTGGAGGCATGGAGAGTCCCAAGCTGATGTTCAGTCGAAGCGATTGCGAGCATCTTGGCAGGGACTCCAAGCCGACCTGAGCACGTACAAGTTCGCTGACGATATCAACAGTTCTGTCCTGGCGGACCCGCAGATGTCGCTGAGTGATTTCACAACCAAGATTGAGGCGGTTGATGCCAGATTAGACTCCTATCTTGTGGATTTTGGCTACGGCCAGAACAGCACCAAGCAAGATTACCTTATGTTTTTCGCTGCCCGTGGCTATCAGTGTCGCCAGCTGCTCCGCCAAGACCCCTCTCTCCTCCAGGGCTCCGTTCGGGAACAAGCTAGATATCTTGGGCCTTACTTGCAGCTAAGCGCTTCGGCTAGGTCTGAGATGTCCAGGAGGTGTTCGGCGGCTCGTTCGGGCTGTTTCTCCCTGGGCAGGGCGTGGAGTCTTGGGATCCCGAAAAGGTGGAAACGCAGTCTCTTCATCGGGTTCGTTCAAAGGCTTTACTAAGTGGACTCGAAAGTTTCGTGGTCACGGAGACGGACACTACGATTTTAGATGGCTGTATGGCTCGTCTGGGGCGTATTGCTATGATGGGCAAAGCTACTTCCTGGGAGGGCCCGCACGTGAAATCGCTATCGACTAAACAGGTACTTGAGTATTGGAAGCTGGTTCCCTCCTCGCTGGAGCTCTTGATTCGCAGAGTTAAGCTGTATCAGTCTTGGAGTGCGCACCCTGAGGAACACACTCAGATTTTATGCGCATTATTTGGGTCGTCTCCCATCGAATTCATGCGACCTCAACTGAGTGCAGGACGGCCTGTACCGAACTCTTCGCCGTGGACAAAACAGGTGGCGTCCGATTTGGATCGTGTCTCCAGGCTGCTCCCCTACGAGAGCGTGCGAGATGTTGCCAATGACTTGCGTCTTCTCACCGACCTGGAGGCCTCGGAGGATTTTCAGAGGGTGGATATGACCGAGCTTCGGAGCCAAGCTTTCTCTGTCTGCATCCCCCCTCCTGGATATGCTCCACCAGTGGTCCCTCCCGAAGAGCCTGAAGATCACGCAGAGGTTGAGTTGCCCTTCGTGTGCCCGATGGACCTCAATGGGGAGCCCTGTAAGAGCGCCCTCAGTACTCGTAAGCAGCTACTGGAACATCTACGGCATTGTCATCAACTACGCAACCTAGCACATGTACTAACACCTAGCAACGCATGCATTCACTGTTTACAGACTTTCGCAACGCAAGTTACTGCTGCCCGTCATCTACTACGATCACTACAGAAGGGAAACTGCCTCACATGTGGACCTCGTACATTGGCCCCGATGGTTACCCCGCCGTCCTATGAGTGCCCATGCTGTGACTATGTGGGGGAGGATGCGCTGTCTCTCTGTCGCCATCTCCGAAGCCATCTGCCAGTTCAGATCGCGCCCTTCATATCAACTACTCGTACGATCAGTACCGACGTTCACGGCTTTCATCATGGAAGTCGAGGCTCTCCAGAGACCTGCTTGGTTCAAGAGTGCCGCCTCCCCAGAAGCCGATGGCACTCAGCCCGACGCCAAAGCTCGCAAGAAGGAGTCGGGCAGCCAGGGTGGTCGCATCCCGCTCGACAAAATCATCGTGGTCATCTGCAAGCTAATCTTAGCCAACAGTCGAGAGCTTGCCGACCTCGGAGCCGTGGTGTACTTGAGGTACGAGTTGGACGCGGGCCAGGGCATGATCGCAGCCGCAGTCGCGGCAGGAGTGGCGTACAACGAGACGAGCAAAGAGATGAAGAATCGCGCAGACGGTGGCGAGACGGTGGATCACAAAGGACGCGCCGCTCCTCATCTACAAATCTTTATGGCAGTATGGGAGTACGGAGCCACCAGGACGGTGGCAGAGGAGGCGGACCCTCTTATCAAACAGAGGGCCGACAAACTCAAGGTGGACATGCGCGCGTTCTGGGACGAGAAGCTCGCGAAGGTTCCGCTGTCAGATATCGCCCGTGCAGTCCAGTACTTCCGCGTTCGTATTCATCGCAAGGTCGAGGGCCAGAAAGACAAGGCAACTTTTCTCTTCAAAGTGGATCTTCATCACAACATGGGGGCGGTGATCGGCCCGATGGTGGAGACGCTGGCGGCGGTGGAGGGGGGCTCCTTCCTTTCGGGCGCGGTCGCCGCGCCTGATGTATGGGCCCCCTTCTGAGGGCTGCGTGCCTATCGGGGTGCCCATCGGCCAGTGCAGTCGCTGCTGTGAGCCTGAGAGGGGCTCGCATCGTTAGTCGTCTGGTTTCGAAGGAACCCTCTCAGAGTACAGTCAAGTTTTTTCGAGCTTCGAGGTCGTGATTTTGACAGGGACTCCATGAGGATCTGCTCTGCTCTGCTCCTCCTCCTCCTCCTCCTCCTCCTCCCCCTCCTCCTCTCCTCCTCCTCCTCCTCCTCCTCCTCGCTCCTCGCTCCTCCTCCTCCTCCTCCTCCTCCTCCTCCGCCTCCTCCTCCTCCTCCTCCTCCTCCTCCTTCCTCCTCCTCCTCCTCCTCCTCCTCCTCCTCCTCCTCCTCCTCCTCCTCCTCCTCCTCCTCCTCCTCCTCCTCCTCCTCCTCCTCCTCCTCCCCCCACCCTGGGCCAGGCCGCCGGAAGCCGGCCGGGGGCAGACTCGGCCTCGCGGTGAGCCCGAGCCCCGACCGATTCGCCACGCGCTGTGGCCACCGCGCCGTTTGCCGGGGGTGGGCAGACCTCCTGCCGAGGGGGGTTACGAAATCTGCTGCATGCAGCTGGTTTCGGCCTTACCGAGGGGCCCATTCCTCGATGCATGGGCGCCTCCCGGCGCCGGGAGGCGCCGGGAGAATCAGCTGCGTGGGCTGATTTTCAACCGCCCCCTTTGCTATCCCCCCCCTTTCGCCTGGCCCGATTGTCGGGGGTGGACAGGCTTCCTGCCCTGGCGCGCCGACGAGCGACCCGGCCGCTCCCCGCCCGCGAGGGGGCGCCGCGGCCGCCGTTTTTGCGGGTCCGGGCCCGCCGGTTTCGGCCCCGGGTCGCCTTCACTAGGGGGAGGTCTACTGAAGGAAGGTCTGTCCACCGCCGAGGTGTGAGCACCGCGCCGTTGGGGAGCCCCTGGCCTCGAGGCTCCTCTGCTTTGGGAGGGGTAGCAGGCAAGGAAGCAGGATCGAGGATCCAGGATGACCGAGGAGGGTCGAGGAGGACCGAGGAGGCTCGAGGATCGAGGAGGATCGAGGAGGATCGAGGAGGATCGAGGGTCGAGGAGGATCGAGGATCGAGGATCGCTCGAGGCTCTCTGGGGTATCTCGCTGGGCCTCTGAGGGGGGAGCCCTGGCCTCGGAGGTCGCCGCGCGTGCACCCGCACCGAGCCCTGCCGGGCCCATCCCCGGCCCCGGGGCCGGTGTGGACGCCTTCCCGGCCAACTTGCCCAAGCATCGCTCTCAGAGCCCCGAATCATCAGGGGTAACTCGGGTCAGGGATAACTCGGGTTCGTTTCTCGGGAATCCAAACCCGAGTTACCCCGGACCCGAGTTACCCCGGATAACTCGGGCGTCCAGAGTCCCGAATCATCAGGGTTAACTCGGGTCAGGGATAACTCGGGTTCCTTTTTCGGGAATCCAAACCCGAGTTATCCCGGATAACTCGGGCGCCCATCGCTCGGACGTGTGCATTTTTTCTCGGCGAGGGCCATGGAAGAGCATCCTTGATCTCGGGGGCGGAAAAGAGGGGGTGATGACTAGGGGTGTGTGGATATCTTGGCATGGGCCATGATTTTTTTTCAGGTTTCATGGCGCCTCTTCTTGTTTCATTACGTCCCTGGCCCCCCCGCTGGGCCGCGCACATGCCGCCGGTCATGATGTGCACCCCCCCCCTCTTGGACACCCCCCTCTTGGCCGCTCCCGATTGCCCTGGCATCGCTCGGACGTGTGTTTTTTTTTCTCGGCGAGGGCCATCGAAGAGCATCCTTGATCGTTTGGCGAGAAAAAAAGCACGCACGACACCGAGCAAGAACACAGGGAATGGGCGTCCGAGCGGTGGCCAGGGCCCGGGCGGCGCCCACGCCGATCCTGGGCCCGGGGTGGAGCCTGGCCAGGATGGGGGTGCAGTGGCGTGTCCAGCAGGAGACCCATCACCCAGACATCCGACGCACAGGGTTCCTCGACACGGGGACGCTCGCAGTTTCGACCTTCTCTCCCCTGGGACCGCCCTTTCCTCCCGAGCCGTTCCTTGACGGCCCCAGGGCCCGGCGAGGGCCCCCAGAATCCGAAAAGTGAGAAAAACAACGCGACGAGATTCTGGAGACGTTGTCGGGCCGGGCGAAAGGGGGGGATTGGGAAAGGGGGGGGTACGAAATTTGCTGCATGCAGCTGATTTCGGCCTCGCCGAGGGGCCCATTCCTCGATACATAGTCGCCTCCGGCGCCGGGGGGCGCTGGGAAAATCGGCTACGTGAGCTGATTCTCAAACCCCCCCTTTGCTATCCCCCCCTTTCGCCCGACCCGACGTTGGTAGACGCTTCCCCGCGGCGGTGTTCGCCCCCTCCAAGACGCCAGCCCGAGAGCATCCCGGGCAGAGCTCGGGGAGGTCGCCGCCGCCGCCTCCGTCGTCTCGCGCTGCCGCGCCTCGTGGGGGGGTGCCGAAGGCTGGGCGCCTGGTGCTGGGCGCTTGGGTTTGTGGGCTATTAGGGGGCGGATCTGCTTGAATCAGGAGGGGGAAAAGCACACAGACATAATCAATCGGCGATTCCCAGAACATATGGGGAAATATGGGAACTGGGGGGGAAGGCAAAAACCCAGAAAATCTGGGAAAATATGGGGGATATGTTTATTTGTGTGTACTTATTTGTGTGTCCCAGTTCCCCTTCATTGAAGCCCGCTCAGGCCTGAGCAAGTCGCACCTGCGTGCTCGGGCTCCTCCAAGAATCAATGGGGGGCTACCTGTGGAGTTGCCACAGCTCTTGAAGCGACGAAGTCTTCGGACACACCTGCGGTGCCACTGCGTGTGTTCAAGGAATCGTGCCGGGCAACCGCAAGTGAACCAACACATGTCAAACGATTATGCCACACGAGTTTGTTAGAAGCCTGCGTTCAGTCCTCCTCCAACCTCTCGCCCCCTCCTCTTCATGCTCCTGATTATGCTCCGGATCAAGATAGGCACGTCGATGGGTTCATAACAGTTTGTTTATTTTTCCTGTTCTGGCTCCTGTTCCTGTGCCACCGCCTTACATTCCTCTTCGTCCATTGTCATCCTTACCTTCCTCCCCTAACTTCTCCCCCTTCCTCTTCAGCCTCATCACATTTTTTCTCGCTGTCCCCTCATTGAGGAGATTCGGAACAGTTTTGACGGTGTGGCTGGCAATTGTGGTTCGTATACTCGATATGACATTGGTCACGTTGACGGTGATTCAGTTGCGCTCCGACCTGAATTCGGTTGTGTCCAGTTTGGTGTTCGAGGGTGACATGTCACGTTCTGCTCTCGATGGGGGTTGCGGAATCGCTTTACGATCTTCTCTCACGTGTCTCGAAGTTTTGAACGGCACGTGCGCGCGCTGAGAGACCAGGTGGCCTGGCCAGAGGGCCACTAGCAACACATGTGAGAATTGCAGGACCAGAGCGTTGTCTCGCGTGTAGTTCTCCCCTAAATGCCGCCCACCATCGCTTGCGGCCTAGAAGAGGAGCGTGGACCACCGCCACCGAGCACCTCTCGGGGAGGGGCCGGCCCCTCGGCGGCGACGCGCTGGAGCGTCGTCGGGCTCTGGGGTGGTGCTCGGGCGTGCCTCCGCCCAGAGGGCGCCCCCCCCCCCGCTGGTGCGTTCTCGGTGGTGGTGGTTCGTGCTTCTCTCGGCCACGCGCAGGGGGGGGGGGGAGGGGGAGGGGGGAGGGCGTCTTAGGAGCACCGCTGCTCTAGAAGGCGCGGGCCTCGTCTGTGGATGCAGGGCCCGCGCTTTCTGAGACGCAACCTCCTTCTTCCCCCTCCCCCTGCCTAGTCCTGTGCGCCGCTGATTCCCCTCCGAATGACCAGGTGAACGGGCTGGAGTGGTCGTTCGGGTTCACGCCGAGCTCAACGAGATCTGGCGGGGCCAGATGGGGAGGACATGCCGAGGAGGAGGAGGAGGAGGTGGACGAGGAGGAGGAGGAGGAGGAGGAGGAGCAACACGTTGAGGAGAAAGGCGTCAGGACAGGAAGGGAAGAGGGAGGATGAGAAGGAGGCTGAGGAGGATGGGAGAGGATCTCACTTGTCTATCAACCCGACCAGGACGTGTTTGCTCGCTCGTCCAAGTGGAAGAGGTGGAGACAGCAGTGGAGGAGACGGCGGAGATGCAAGGATAGCCGGGGGATGAGGATGGGGAGCAGGAGCCCGGTGTCCCCGCCTGCCTTGCTTTGTGTTTCAAATAATGTGCACACTGCAGCGTACGGTAGGTTCGTGTCGTGTCGACCAGCGGCGACCCCGCCGCGGACGTTCAAGGTTTAACGCCGCCAGTGGCCCAGAGTCGGCCTACATGGAACGATCGAGCGACGGAAAAGCCGCCGATCGTTCAAGGTTGAACGATTCACGCGGTGTCAGAAACCAACGCGGGGGTCGTCACGACGCGAACTTGCCGTAACGATGCCCCTGCCTTTTGAGAAGGAGTGCGCAGGGGGTCTGGGAGCTTTCGCGGAGGACATGTGCCCCTTCCCCAAACTGGTTGGACATATCTTCAGTTGCTGCCAAGGGTGCGTGCGCGGTTGGAAGCGAGGAGCGGCTGAGGTCGGTGCGGGGCCGAACCAGCGGGATGATGATGGTGCTGATAATGATGATGGTGATGCTGATGATGGTGGTGATGGTGATGGTGGTGGTTGCCATGTTGACGCTGATGGTGATGATGGTGATTATGGTGGTGATGGTGATGATGAGGAGGTGGAGGATGCTGCTGCTGATAATGATGATGATGATGATGAAGATGAAGATGAAGATGATGATGATGATGATGATGATGATGATGATGATGATGATGATGATGATGACGCTGATGATGATGATGATGATGATGATGACGATGATGATGATGATGATAATGATGGTGATGGTGATGGTGACGGAGATGGTGCTGATCTTGGTGATGTTGATGGTGATGGTGATGACGATGACGATGTCGACGACGATGGTGAGTCCACGCTGATTATGTTAATGACGATGAGGACGAAGATGATGATGATGATGATGATGATGATGATGATGATGATGATGATGATGATGATGATGACGCTGATCATGATGATGCTCCTCATGCTGATTATGATGATGATAATGATGATGATGATGGTGAGGGTGATACCGATGATGCTGATGCTGCTCATGCTGTTTTTTGATGAAAGTGAATACGCTGATAACGATGATATTTACGATGTCTAAGATGACGATGGTGATTTTGACGATGATGTTTTCGATGCTTATGATGATCCTGATGATGACGACGACGATGATGATTCTGAGACTGAGGCTGTTGTCTACGAGTGTGATGATGATGGTGATGATGACGAGGATGATGATGATGCTGATGATGATGATGATGATGATGATGGTTATGATGATGATGATGATGATGATGATGATGATGATGATGATGCTGATGATGATGATGATGATGATGATGATGATGGTGATGGTGATGGTGATGGTGATGATGATGATGATGATGATGATGATGATGATGATGGCGAGGCGGAGGAGTCCATGGACGTGGACGAGGAGGAGGAAGAGGTGAGAGAGGTGGTCGGTGAGAAGAAGGCATGGATTGATAAACAGGAGGAGCGGGTCGGAGCTAGAGTGGGAGGATGTTGCTGATGATGCGGAGGATCATGAGGGCACAAGGATGTGGAGGAGAGGGTTGGTGATGGTGATGTTGAGGTTGGTGTTGTAGACGAGGAGCAAAGGGATAAGTAGCAGGGAGTGCAGAGGTCTGCACGGGAGGGGAGGCGTCTTCTGTTGCATGCCCAAGCAGAATGCACAGCACCACTACCGCGAGTCCGCGCGTTGCCGGTACACCAGCCTCTCGGCGGAGCAGATCAATAGTGTCTTATTGCCACAGGAGGATGATGTGGGGAGTGAGGGGCAGGACGGGGGGAGGGTCTGGTGGAACAGGGCAAATACGAGGAGGCGCAGTGCGAGGTGGTGGAGGAGAAGGAGGAGGAGGAGGAGGAGGAGCAGCGCGAGGGGTAGGGCGAGGAACAGGGAACATGAGGGACAGGACGAACGGAGGGATCGGAGGAGGACGAGGTGCACGGGGCTGAAGCAAGGGATGTGCGTTATGTTGGGGCAACATTGCAGGGATGGCATTCCGCTGTGACTTTGGAAGCGTAGGGACAGCGAGTATAAATCTGCAAAAACCTTCAGCCTGCAGATCCCAGGCTCGATGAGCAAAGTGGCGACCATAGTGTCACTTTTCGGACATGTCCGAGCGCTTCTGTCCACCGCCTTGCTCTTTCGGCATCCTTGTGTTCAATCCATGAATCTCCTCTTCCCTGCTCCCGATTCCTCCCACCCCGCGTCCTCGTCCGTCCTACTCCTCCCTCCGCTTCCAATGCTTCCTCCTTCCTCAAGGCCGCGGGTCTTCATGGGAGGGGTGCGCGACGAAGCAGTAATATCTTTCTTCCTGGTGTTTGTCTTCCTCCTTGTTACTGATCTCGCTCCTCATCCGCCCTCCTCCCGAAAAGCCCCTTGAACGCCAGAGCCCCATTTCATCTTCAGGACGCCGAGACCACGCCCAAACAAACATCGACCCCCCCTCCTTTCTCCTCCTTTTCATTCTCTCCTCCCTCCTCATTTGCCTCTTCTTCTGCCTCATCCCTTCCTGGGTCCGTTGGAATTTTTCATCGTCCCTCCAACCGCCATCAGACCTTGGCTCCTCGTCAGCCCTTGTCCTGGCGCTCCTCCTCCTACTCCGCCTCGCCCAACCCAGCTCCCCCTTCCCCTCGTCGTCCCCTCCTCCCCCCCGTCCGAGAACACCCGAAACCGCTGAGGACACTTGCGGCATTAGGGAACAAACATGGCACCCAGAAAGCACCCGATGACCTCCGGGCACCCGCGAAAAGCACCTCTTCCCGTGAGCGGGAAACATCCGTCTCCACGTATTCGCGCCCTCGTGGGCCCGGCCTCTGAGCCGCGATCCCGCGGACATGGGGCGTGTCTGCGCGTACACGCCGGTCGTTGAAAGTAGGTATTTTTGGATTCCCAGATCCCAATCCAATCTACTTCAAGCGCCTTCCTACTTCAAGAATCGGCACGCTTTTGCTGTGTTTTGTTATTCTCTGGGGGGGGGCCTGGACCCAAGCAACTTAATACGCCTTCCTACTTAATGTTTTTACCCACTTCTTCCGACCGGCGTGTACGCCCCCCGCGCGGGACGTGTCCGCGCGGCCGCGTATCCGCGGGATCGCGCCCCGGAATCCAGGCCGCGAGGGTGCGGGCACGTAGGTGTCCGCCGCTCGTGGCCCAGAGGCCTGGCGCGTCGAAGACCATGCCGCCGCGATTCGATGCTGCTGCGCCTGGATCGGAAGTGGGGAGGGGGAGGAGAGGGAGGAGGGAGGAGGAGGAGGAGGAGGAGGAGCAGGAGCAGGAGCAGGAGGAGGGGCGCCAGGCATTTGAACGTATGGGCGCTTCTGAGCGTTTCTCTGCCTGTTCCAACGGAGCAACAGGCGATCTCTTTCTGTAATCTGCCACGCGGGGAATCTATGTGCATTCCACTCAACAAGAAGCGTTTGTCCATTCCACTCACATGAATCTTGTTGTCTTCCACCAACAACCAGTTCTTTTGACGGCGGAGTATGGATTTCGGATTTCAACAAGGATATTTGTTTTGCGGCGGAGCGCAAAACAAGTTCACGTTGTGGCGGAATGCACAAGGATCCCACTTGTGGCGAAACATTATGGCATTCCTCCGTGTGGCGAAAACTACTGATAATCCCCTTGTGGTGTACTACTAGGGGTTTCTCTTGTTGCGGGAAATCAAAAGGAATCCTTCTGTGGCCGAGATCAAAAGTATTCCCCTTGCGGCGGAACAGCAGGATATCCTCTGTGGCAGAGTTCTAGGGAATTCTTTCTGTGGCGGAATAATAAGAGTTCCCCCGATGTGGGATTACTATGGGCTTCCTTTGGGCGGCTGGGTACAATCGGAATCGTTATGTAGCTGGTTATCAAGATACCCCTTATGTGGCGGAGTGCACATGGACATATATCATATATTATGTGGTGAGTTGCAGATTGGATGGTTTGTGTGGCGGAATACAAAAGGAATCTTCTTGTGGCAGAATACAAGAGGAATCGTCTTGTGCATTCCAACATGGATTTGCTACGTGGCGGAGTTCAGCCGTATTTCTGCTGTGGAACAATACTAGAAGGATTGCCTATTTGGTGCAATGCTAAGGGTTTCCTTATGTGGTGAGGTACTGAGAGATTCTTTGTGTGGTTGGATATATACGGAAGATTTCCCCATGTAGTCGATGATCAAAGAAATCGTTACGTGGCGGAATAAAACAAATCGTTTTGCCGAGTACGCCAGGTATCCTCTTGTTGCGGAATGCAAACGTATGCCCTTATGTGACATACGAAGAGGTATCCGTGTGTGGTTGCATAGTAATGGATTCTTTGGTGGTGAATTAAAGACGCCTTTCTTTTAATTGATTATTTTTTGGTGGGGTACAAACGGAACTGCTGTTGTTGCGGAGTGCACACTGATGCTTCTAACGCGGAATACACCAGGATCCATTTTTGTGAGCGAGCACAGACATGGAAATATGAAGCCCTGAGTTCGGGCAGTTATGGTTTCGTGTTTGTCCGGGAAATTGTCCAATTAGTCTCGTCCTCATTCACAGTTTCCCCAGAGGAATCAGTGTGTATACCGTGACCAAGCGTTTCCATCATTATTCCTCTACCAAAAGGAATCGTTGTGCATTCGGCCACGACGGGGATCTTTTCGTATTCGGCCGCTCAGGGAATCCTCTTGTATTCCGCCGCAAAGGACATTCTTTCGATAATCCGACACGGGGGACCCCTGTATATTCAGCCGCACAAGGAAATTCTGCTGGCATTCCGCCGCAAATGGGGATTCTTTTCGCATTCTGGCACAACGGGACGTTCATGACATACAGCCGCACAGGGAGTCAGTTTGCATGTCACCGCGAACGCATTTTGCGCAGTACACATACATTTTGTTTGTGGTGGGGTAGTCAGAGATGCATGTGAGTGGGTGGAATAAGGGAAACCCTTTTTAAAAAAAGGAATACATACACATATACATATATATACATATATATATATATATATGTATCTACATATTTATATATATATATATACAGATGTGTGTTCCTGGTGTGGTGGGTTGCATAAAGATTTCTTTCGCCACCCCCTTTGAACACCAAACGCTCAAGCCTTCCAGGCCTGCATCGTGCCTGGTTCGGGATGAGGAGGATGGAGGAGGAAATGGAGGAGGAGGAGGGGGGGGGAGGGAGAGGAAGAGGAGGAGGAGATGGAGAAGGCCCTCTCCCTGGAGCGGGAGGAGTGGCATGGAGGTGGACGTTGTTGTTTCGTTTTGCGATGTTGCATATTGTTCAAGAATTCGGAGGTCGCGGATGCGTTCGTGACTCCTCGGCGCGCGTGGCCAGGTCATCACCGAGCTGGTGGAGGAGTGGAAGGGGCGGGACTACGACCTGCTGCGGCGCGCTTCCCCACGCGGCCTGCGGAGTGGCGCGGGGGAGGAGGGAGGGATCAGGAGGAGGACGAGGGAGAAGGGCTAGGGAGGAGGAAGAGGACGAGGAAGAGGAGGAGGAGGAGGAGGAGGAGGAGGAGGAAGAGGTGGAGGAGCAGAGCGAGGACGAGGACGAGGTCGAGGGAAGGGGGAGGAGGAGGAGGAGGAGGAGGAGGAGGAGCAGGAGGAGCAGGAGGAGCAGGAGGACGAGGATGAGGACGAGGACGAGGAGGACGATGGGCTAGCGAGGTGGGGTTCCTGGATGGGGTAGCGAGGAGCGAGGGAGCAGCGAGGAGGGAGGAGGGGGGGATAGCGAGGAGGAGGGAGCAGAGAGGAGGAAGAGCAAGGCCAGTGTAAACCCCGAGCGCATCAACGATGTTAAATAAGTTCTCCCTCAACGTTCCCTTTCCATCTGTCCTTAGAAGGGTTTGTGTTCATGGCTGGAAGTGCCCATTGTAAAATACGCGTCTGAGAATCCCAAATCTTGCCAACACGCCATAATTGGAATTTCAACGCCGCGAGTCAACGTGACTGCTACGTCCTGACGACCCTGAATCGCACCTGAACAACATTCATGGCATTTCAACTCCGCGAGCCAACGTGACTGTTCCGTCGTGAGAATCCGACGCCGTGCCAGAACACAGTTTTTGGGAGGTCAACGATACGAATCCTTGAAACTGCTGCAAAGTTGGTAGAGGACGAGGTCGAGGACGAAGACGAGGGGGAGGAGGAGCGAGGAGCGAGGTCGGATGACTGGATTGCGAAACTGAATGGGCACAGGCTGGCGGCATGTGACTGGTTGGCAATGCGAGCTTCTTCGAATGAGCAGCGTATGGAGCAATAGTCCGATGTTGGCGCCGAGCCGTGCAAATTGCAAGTGTAAAGCCGCGAAAGGACGACAGATGAAAACTCAGGAGGAGGAAGTGCTGCAGCGAGGCACCAGGGCAACAGTGGCCTGCCTTCCGTCACCACAACCTCGCTCGGCGGACCGAGCCGTGGCGACGAGAAGCATTTGGGAGACCTAGCAGGAGACTGAGAACGCCACAAAAGGCCGCCTTTTGCCTTTGGCTTCACAGCCGTGGGGCGCCTCTTCTTGTGTTCTGCCTCGCGGTCGTGCTGCGCGTTGTCGTGTCGCTCTGCGTCGCCGTCCTGGGGCGCTCCGCCTCTGCTTCTCTGCCGAGGCTCTGTGTGCACGCAGACCCCTCCGCCCGCAGCGCTTCCCTGCCGTTTCCTCGAAGGGATGCCATTCGCGCGCTCTCCGCCCGGGCGCCTTTCCGCATGCCCGGCCCACTGGCCGGCTGGCCGGCCTTTCTGGCATCGCTCGGACGTGTGCATTTTGTTCTTCGGCGAGGACCATCGAGGAGCATCCTTGATCATTTGGCGAAAAAAGCCACGCACGAAACCGACAAAAAACACAGGGAATGGACGTCCGAGCGATGGCCAGCCCTCCTCCGCCAGTCCGCCGCCGCCAGGCGCAACTGCTGCCACTTTGCGGACGAGTTCTGCCGGCGCCTCAAGGTCGGTGGCATCCCCGGCTGGGTGCACCGCCTGGCGCGCATCGGCGCGCGGCTGGACCCCTGCGGGGAGGGGTGCCTGGGGCCGCGGGGGCGGGCGGGCGGAGCGGTCGCGGGCGACGGGGAGCTGATCCACGGAGCGTCCCTCCCCCAGCCTCGCACCCGGGGACGTACTCTCTGCCTGGAGGACCCGGGAACGCAGGCACCTGGCCATGCAAGGGAACGCATCTTGGGCTCGACGCGATATTGCTTTGCACTATTTTGATGCATCTCCTCATCCTCCTCTTCTCCTCCTCTCCCGTCTCCCTCTCCTGTCTGCCTCTCTCTCTCTCTCGCGGTGTTGATCCTCCTCTCTCTCTCATCTCCCCGCTCCTCACCCTGCAACGAGCGCGTTCCACTACTCGCAAAGTCCCTACCCGCAAACGTCCGAAAAAAACCTGTCTGCACTCATGCCAATCATCGCAGATCCCCCCGCGTGGGATCCAGGCCACTTGCGAGCGGCTACTCTGCGAGTAGTGGAACGCGCTCGTCGAACCCTGCCCTTCCCGAGCCGTGCCGGCTCCAGCGGCGTGCCGCTGCCTCCGCACCTCGCGGCCGGGGCCGACCGAACAAGAGCCCGCCGCGGGCGCGCGGGGCCGCTGCGTGGAGGGCGGGCGGGCCGCCGCCACGGCCACCAGCTCGGGCCCCCCTCGCCCCTGCCCTCGAGGGGAGGAGGAGTTGGAGGGGGGGGGAGGGAGGAGGGGGAGGGAGGGTGGAATGTGAGGAGGAGGAGGAGGAGGAGGAGGAGGAGGAGGAGGAGGAGGAGGAGGAGAAGGAGAAGAAGGAGAAGGGGGAGGGAGGGTGGAGTGTGAAGGGAGGAGGAGGAGGAGAAGGAGGAGGTGGAGAGGAGGAGAAGGCGGAGGAGGAGGAGGAGGCGGAGGAGGAGGCGAAAGAGGAGGAGAAGAAGGAGGGGGAGGGGAGGGAGGGACGGGGAGGGAGGGAGGAGGGAGGATGTACGAAGTAGGAGGAGGAGGAGGCGGAGGAGGAGGAGGAGGAGGAGGAGGAGGAGAGAGGAGGAGGGAGGAGGGAGGAGGGAGGAGGGAGGAGGGAGGAGGGAGGAGGAGGAGGCGGAGGAGGCGGAGGAGGAGGAGGAGGAGGAGGAGGAGAGGAGGAGAGGGAGGAGGGAGGATGGAGGAGGGAGGAGGGGAGGAGAGGAGGAGAGGAGAGGAGAGGAGGAGAGGAGGAGGAGGAGGAGGAGGAGGAGGAGGAGGAGGAGGAGGAGGAGGAGGAGGAGGAGGAGGAGGAGGAGGGGAGGAGGAGGAGGAGAGGAGGAGGAGGAGGAGGAGGAGGAGGAGGAGGAGGAGGAGGAGGAGGAGGAGGAGGCGGAGGCGGAGGCGGAGGCGGAGGAGGAGGAGGAGGAGGAGGAGGAGGAGGAGGAGGAGGAGGAGGAGGAGGAGGAGGAGGAGGAGGTCAAGTGCAAACCCAAGATGCAACGTTGATGTTGCAACACACTCACTCTCCAAGATCCTGCTTCGCAGGCCCCGGGAGCACAACATGTTCATTGCGGTAAGTGGCCCATAAGAAGACAATTGTCTGATACTTCCCATTCGTGCGAAACACAGCTTCCCAGCGGCTTTAACGCCCGATCAACGGTACTGATTCGTCTTGAGAATTCTAAATCGCGCCAGATCGCCATTCTTCGGCCTCCTGACAACCTAAAGCGTGCCTGGGCACTATTCCTAGGACTTCGACCATACGAATCCTTGAAACTGTTGTACACGTTTCAAACAGAGTAACCACATTCTGAAAACCACGGGCCACGCGTGAAACTATTCCACTTTTCAAGTTTCAGGACCACCGATGGCGGGGAAGTCTCTGACGAAACGCCGGGCCCGCACTACCGACACGTCTGGGAGTGGGGCAGGGAAGTTATGTGTAAGACCAAAGGATGGAGGAGGCGGAGGAGGAGAGGGGAGGATGTGCAGGATTGTGCATAATGGCGACAACAGAAGTCGCGAAGCACCAGGCGAAATTGTGCGAGGGGATAGAGCATGGACCCCGTCGCCTGACTACTCGCGGCCACAGTCCCTCGGTGCTGCACAGGCTCTGATACACCGAGCCCCGCTGCGCCGACCCTGATACTGCGGTCCAACTGCGAAGCCACAGGAGGGCAAAGTGCCGCGCCCGTTGAAACGCCCGATTACCCTGGTTACCCCGGTTACGGCCGGTTTCCATGCCCCCACGCCCGGACAGGCCTCCTTGACAGTGTGCCCTCCGCAGGAGGTAGCGCTGGAAGCGAAGGAGGAAGAGAAGCACGAGAAGGAAAAGTTGGAGGAGGGGGGAGGAGGAGGAGGAGGAGGAGGAGGAGGAGGAGGAGGAGGAGGAGGAGGAGGAGGAGGAGGAGGAGGAGGAGGAGGAGGAGGAGGAGGAGGAGGAGGAGGAGGAGGAGGAGGAGAGGGAGGAGGAGAGGGAGAGGAGGAGGGAGGAGGGAGGAGGGAGGTATGAGGAGGAGAGGGGGAGGAGGAGGAGGCGGAGGAGGAGGAGGAGGAGGACGAGGAGGAGGAGGAGGAGGGGAGGAGGAGGAGGAGGGAGAGAAGGATGAGGAGGAGGAGGGGAAGGAAGAAGAATAATCAGAAGACGGAAAAGAAAACGAATAATAATAGTAGGAATAAGAGGAGGAGGGGGAGGAGCAGGAAGAGGAGGAGGAGGAGGAGGAGGATGAGAAGGAGGAGGAGGAGGACAGGGGTGGAGGAGGATGTGGAGCAGCAGGACAAGGATGATAATGAGAGGGTTGAGGAGGACGAGTAGGAGGAGGAGGCGGAGGAGGATAATAATAATGATGATGGGATGATGCTGAGGATGCTGTTAATGCTGATAATGCTGATGATGCTGATGATGCTGATGATGCTGCTGCTGATGATGATGATGATGATGATGAGGAGGAGGAGGAGGAGGAGGAGGAGGAGGAGTGGAGGAGGAGGGCTGAGAGGAGGAGCAGGACTTAGGAGGAGGAGGAGGACTTAGGAGGAGGAGGAGGATGAGAAGGCAGGAACAGAAGGAGAGGGAGAGGGGAGGAGGAGGAGGAGGAGGAGGAGGAGGAGGAGGAGGAGGAGGAGGAGGAGGAGGATCTGGAGGGAGGATGGACAGTCGCTCCCGACTGGGACTGGTACCTCCTGCGCGACGGGAGATCGCCTCATCATTTCTGCAACATTTCTTCCCTACCTCAATCCCTACTCTCTATTTCTTCCCCCTTGTTCCTGGACTTTGTTTTCGTGGTGGGACGATTAGGCCAGATGGGGGGAAGGTTCGATCGGAGAGATCAGTAGGGATGATCAGGAGGAAGAAGGAGCGAGGAGGAGATGGAGAAGAAGAAGGAGGAGGGGGAGGAACCACGAGGAGGGCTGGAGGGTTTGGCTGGAGGGCGTGGCGATGGTCTCCCAGTTGACGGGAATGCGGCGCTTGGGCAGCCATGTAGGCGGCGCTTGGGCCGCTCGGTTTCAGTGCGCAGGGTCCTGCTCCCTCCAGTGCCTTCGCAGGTCCGGTCCGTCGGACCGTCGCACCGGCGGTGCGCGCTCGTCTCGCCCGCTGGCCCTAAGAGGGCTCCCGGAGCCCTCTTCGGCTACGCGCAGAGGGGGGGTAGGGTTTTAAGTCGGGCACGTCCCTCTACAGGAGAAATGCTCAAAAGCAGTAAGAAAAACTAGTCGGGGGACAGATGTTCTACAATTTGTTTTACTATGTTTCAACATTGTTTGATTCGTCATCCCGAATCCCCCTGTATAAGAGTACATGCCCGACCTAAGGGTAGGGGTAGGGGGGAAGGTTTCTCAGAAGCACCCCCGCTTCTTAGAAGGCGCGGGCCTTGTCTGCTAAGAAGTAAAGCCAGCGCCTTCTGAGAGGCAGCCTGCTTCTGAGAAGCCTTCCCCCTTCCCCTTAACTGCAGGCAAGATTTGTATCCATATCCGTTGCGTCTTGGAGTTCGGGGCTCCCTTAGCCCCCATTGTGCGCGCCGCCAATCACCACCCACCAAAGCACCCCAACCCAACCCGAAGGCTTCAACTTGCCCTCCATGTCCAGTGGGGGAGGGGTCGGGGAACATGGCAAAACACACACATGGAACCCGCACCCCCCCCCAACCTGAAATTCGAGTCAAATTCGGGTCTTCGGTTCTGATGTTCCAACCTACTTTAGCCTGGGCCACCAGGAAGAATTTCGAGCGCCAGAAAAATACCCCCAAACTCGAGGGTTTTTGCGCGTCGGGCCCTGGGAGACAAGCTCCGGCGCACTCGGCGGGGAGCCTGCAGGAGTCTCCCAGCCTTTGCGGGCCCCAGAGACGGCAGGGCTGTTTTTTCACCGTTTCCAAAGACATGTTTTTTTGAAAATGGAAACGGCCAAAAAACCGCGACCAGAAACGGCAAAAATACTGATCCAGGACTGGAACCGGAGCAGAAACCGGTCAAACAACGGCGACGGAACCGGTCAACAAATTGCGTCGGAACCAGCAAAAAACGGCAAAACGGAACCGGTAAAAAACGGCCTTGTCGTTTCCAGGGCCCACTAAGCCTGGGAGACAAGCTCCGGGGAACTCGGCGGGGAGCCTGCAGGAGTCCGCCAGCGGGGGCGCGAAGTGCTTGGCATCGCTCGGACGTGTGCATTTTTTCTTCGGCGAGGACCATCTAGGAACATTCTTCATCATTTGGCGAAAAAGCCACGCACGAAACCGACAAAAAACAGAGGGAATGGACGTCCGAGCGATGGCGAGGCGGGAGTCGCCCAGCCGCCGGCGGGGGCGCGAGGTGTGCCCGCTCTCTCTTTGCGCGTCCAGGGCCCGAGGCCGGCAGGGCCGCCCTGCCTGCCGGTCGCGAGGGCGCGGGGGCGCGGAGGCCACGCCGCAGCCGGTGGGCGCGTCGCGTCTCGAGCCACCGGGATGTCGCACCCTTTGTGGGCCCCGGAAACGGCAGGGCCGTTTTTTCACGGTTTCCCAAAAAATGTCCCTTGAAAATGGAAACGGCAACAAAAACGGCGACAGGAAACGGCAAAAAAAACGGCGACAGGATTGGAACCGGAGCCAGAACTGGTCAAAAAACGGCGACGGAACCGGTCAAAAATCTGCGTCGGAACCGGGAAAAAAAACGGCAAAACGGAACCGGTAAAAAAACGGCCCTGTCGTTTCCAGGGCCCACTAAGGTCACACCAGACCCAGACCTTCGACGTCGCGAGAAGCTCACGACGGAGGTTTTTGACGATGTTCGGCCTCCGGAGGCCCTCGCCGGGCCTCGGGAGCGTCAGGAGGCGTCTCGTTATGAAAAACCGGTCCCAGGGAAGGTCTCCCGACTTCGGGGGGCCGACGTCGTGAGTTTCTCACGACGTCGGGGGTTTGGGGAGGAAGCAAATCTCTTGATTCGAAAGGGTATTTGGGATGCAGCCCCTGCGAGGTCAAATTCTGATTTTGCACTGGTCCGAAGTCTGGCTTAAGCCCGCTTATCCCGGCTGGATCCCGCTGAATCCGAGGCCCATTTCGGCGCAACAGTTCCCAAATGGGGCTTAATCCTCCTTAGTCTTTCCGACGGAAACTTCCCAGTAGTTGCATCCTTAGGGTGTCAAGGCAGTGCCGCAGTGTGCCGGGTCTGGTCGAGAGCAGGGGATCACGAATGCGGTTCTTTGTGTTACCTCTTTCCTCTCTGTGCCATCCCCTTCGGCATTTGAGATAATATCTAACTTCCGCTCTACTCTCCACTCTCTACTCTCTGCTCTCGCCGTTGTATTATTTGCTCTCTACAGTTCTGCTCTCTACCCTCTGCGCTCTGGTCCGTGGTCTACTCATAGCCAGTGGACGTCGGACACTCCCGCCGCTGTGCCTGGGTCAGGAACTCGCGAGAACGTCGGGAACTGCGTGCTAGATATGTGGCTTTCTGAAACCAGTTCCAATATGCAATGCAGAGAACTCGAAGGGACCGAAGGACACTCAACTCAGTGCCTCGAGGCACCGTGGCGGATGTATGAGGCTGTTAGCATCACGTCGTTTCACATTGACGTGCTCATTGACAATGTAGTCGGTCGTGGTGGGGGGTTGGACCTCAGCGCGCTTGGGCTTATACGTAGTGTATAACATAGTCGGCGACCTGTTCCGTGGGCCCAGGGACGGCCCGCTAATCACCGCCCCTCTTCCGCCACGCACTCCGTGCCCCCGGGTTCGGGAGCTCGCTTCGGGCGGATGGAGAACATCAGGAAGAATAAGACCGGAGACCGCGGCGGACGAGGAGGAGGAGGAAGACGACGTCCCTGGCGAGAAGAGAACGAGGACAGACATGAAGAACATGGCGATGGTTACAACATGTAGAGAAAGAGAAGGTCGCTGGAGAGAGAGAGGTTGAGGAAGCGAGCGGGAAGAGAATGAAGAGGAAGAGGAGGCGGAGGCGGATGCAGCGCTGGAGTTGCCCACGGACGCATTATGAGGATCTTATAATGTCACCGTTAACACAACTCCACGACGCATAGCTACTCCCACGGGCCACGGGGCGTTCTCACGGCAATAGATGTGGCCGTAGTCGTCTTTACGGCAATATATGTGGTTTGTAGTTTCACGTTTATTCAGAATTTTCCGTTCGGTGGAAATGTTTGGTCGGTCTTGGAGGGGGTAGAACACAAGCGCGCGCGGAACGTTCGCGTGATTGTAACTAGTTTCTGATGGCATTCAGCTTTCTGACTCAGGAAATTATACTCAGTACTTCGCGGATCTCTCTCTCTCTCTCGTTTTCTCTCTCTCTCTCTTTGTTTCTTCACTGGGGAGCCTGAAAAGCAAGCCTCCCACTGGAATCGACGGTCTGTTTACCAAGACCCGCAATCGATAGCTCAGCCGCCCACGAAGTCTGGCAGCCTCTCGCCAAGTCCTGACAACTTTCTGTCGCCGCGGACCGGGAACCAGGAACCCGGCGGCCAACCGAATTCGGCCAGACGCGTTCGCCAAACGTCGCCGCTGCATCGCCGATGCGTCGGCGATGCGGCACGACCCTCCGACCCCATCTACTCGGAACCCATCTAGAGTCCGGCGGCGGGCGAGGGGGTGAAGTGAGATCTCAGAAGGCTCGGAAGTCTCCCGGCCTGCTGAGTAGTTTCTTAAGCCTTCCCCGGAGAGACGGACACGAACCCTTCTCGGAGGGCGCGAGGGCTTCTGATACGTCCCGCCGCCTTCTGAGAAGGCCTCCTCTTCTCCTTCTCATTTCCCTCCCTCTCGCTCGCCGCCGCTAGGAGGCCTCCTAGTAGCACAGGAGCAGGACCATCCCCTCCGGCCCATCCTTGGCCGCTTTCGCTGGCCAGGACCCTCTCACAAGGTGCCGCCGTGGCCTTCCAGGGCACTTGCATCCTTCTCGTGCGGCATTACTATACGAGTTGACTTTAGTACGCATCGGTCGTTGAAAGTAGGTATTTTTGGATTCCCAGATTCCACTCTACTTTAAGTGCCTTCCTACTTTAATGATCGAGTGGCTTCACCCTTGCCGTCCTCTTCAGGGGGCGGGCGGACACCCAATCTATTTCCAACGCCTTCCTACTCTCTTTTCTACTTCCTAACGAGGTATAAGATCGAGGTCGGCTCGGGGAGGGTACCCTAATGCTCTTCGTGCTTGTTGCGTGTTCTTATGCACCCTGGGGGAGGACACCCTCGAGTCGTGCTCAGGTTTGCTGGCAGAGGGTCTCGTGTTCTTGGAGGGTGCTCTCCCGCCCTGGGTTCCGACCGTGCTTCTTCCGACCGAGGAGCACAGGAGCTCGCCTCGGGCCCCGATCGCAGCGACGGTGGCGATGCTCGTGCTCCTCAGGTTTAAGTCGGGCCTGTCCCCCTACAGGGGGATTTTCGACGAAAAATAAAAATACCCCAAACATACCCCAAAAAGGTCAAACCATATTTTAAAAAAGTCCCCACACTATTTTTGGATTATGTTTTGATTTTTTGGGGGTATTTTTATTTTTCGTCGAAAATCCCCGTGTAGAGGGACAGGCCCTTCTCAACCTCCGGTGGCCGAAGGATGACCACCCTCACCGGCACCCAGGGCCATCCTCCCCCCGGTGGGGGCGGCCCCCTGCTGCTGGCGCTGCTCGGCACCCCCCCCCTTCCCAGGCCCTTCGGAGGAGCAGAGAAGAAGGCGGAGCCGAAGCGCTCCGCCCAAACCATGGCCACCCGCAGGGGCGCGCAGAGCCTGGCACCGCTCGGGCGCGTGTGCATGTGTGTGTGTGTGTGTGTGTGTGCGCGTGTGTGTGTGTGTCGTGTGTGTAGGTGTAGGTGTAGGTGTAGGTGTAGGTGTAGGTGTAGGTGTAGGTGTAGGTGTACGTGTACGTGTAGGTGTAGGTGTAGGTGTAGGTGTAGGTGTAGGTGTAGGTGTAGGTGTAGGTGTAGGTGTGTGTGTGTGTGTGTTTTTCCTCGGCGAGGACCCCTGGGGACCATCCTGGACCATCGAGCACAACATCGGGGGTGGACAGAACCCCCAACAGTGACACGTCGATGAGTGAATTGTCCGTTGTCGGTTCTCGAGAGGGCGCCGCGGCCGTTATTTTCCAGGCTTGCGCCCGCCAGGTTTGGGCCTCAGGTCGTTTTCACTAGATCACGTTTTTACTAAAGGGGGGTCTGTCCATCCCCGGCAAAAAGGCACGCACGAAACCGAGACACGCACGGGAAATGGACGTCCGAGCGACGGCAAGGCGGAGCATCGCGCCTCGCGCAGGGAGCAGGACCCTGGGCCCCCGCGTCGCTCGCTCCCGCTGGCGCGGCCGCCGCTCCCGCGGGCGCCGCCGCGGGCCCCCGGGCTGGACCGCGCGGGGCTGCGGCCCTGCTCGGACGCCCCGGCGGCGGGCCAGGCGCCGCCGCGGAAGGCGAAGGCCGCCGCCAGAGGGAGCCCGCTGCCGAAGGTGCGCGCAGAGGCGTCCCAAGCCCGTGGGCCCTGGGGATCGAGCTGCGCGAACGAGATGAGTACGGAAAGAGTGGGTACAATGCTCAACAGCAGTCCTTGTTCATTTTGAACAGACCTCGCTGTCCGCGCCGCCACGGCCTGTGTCCATTTGAAACAGGCGGCCGCTGTTGGTTTGGGACGACATTTGTTGTTGAGCAGTGTATTCATTTTTTCCGTACCCATTTCGGGTACCCAGTTGAAACGGATGCTGGGGCTGGTCTCGATTCCTCCGGTTCGATGCGGTTCGATGTCGGTGGTCTTTCTTCCGATCCCGATCCGATGCGGTTTCGGATTTAGAGTTCGAGTTCGGTTTCTGGAAGGAATCTCTAGGCCTCCTCGATGGGGTCGGAGTAGATGGGGTCGGAGGATCGCGCCGCATCGCCGATGCATCGGCGATGCATCGGCGATTTATCGGCGATGCATCGGCGATGCGGCTCGATGTGGGGCCCGATTTTCTCCACGTCGATGTCGCGGATGTTTCGCCGACGTCGCCAGTGCACGGTCGATGCATCGCTCGCCGATTCATCGGCGATGCACCACCGATGTATCGGCGATGCGGCGAGATCCTCCGACCCCATCTACTCGGACCCCAACTAAGGGGCCTCTACACCGTCGATCCTGGGAATCGAGATGCCCCTGTTCGCTTGGCCGTTCCAGGATATCCAGTCAGCCCGCAGAGTAAGGATGAGCGACTTTCCAAGGCTAACCTTGCACCCTTCCCATCTGGGCCATCCTTGGCCGCTTTCGCTGGCCGCGCCCCGCTCGTAAAGTGTCGACGTGGCCCTCCAAAGCCCTTGCATCCTTATCGTGCGTCCTTCTGATACGGGTTGACTACATACATATGTAAATATATGGATTTATGTTATATAAATATATTGCGAGGCTTGCGGGAGGCTTTTCTCGCGGCCTCGGCGGGACTCCCAGCGAGATCCTGGCGAAGCCGATCTCCCCCACCCCCTGTGGCCACTGGGATTGACCTCATGAGAGGGGGCCCTCCCCCCCCCCACTTCTCCCTCCACCCTTCTCCCCTCTTTACCCTCTCTACTCTTCCTCCTCATTGTTCTCCTCCTTTTCGCCCCTCTTCTGCTCTTCCTCCTCGTCCTCCTCCTTTTCCTCCTTCCTTTTCCCTCGAGAATTGTACCGCCAGGTGGCGGGGCTCGGGGCGCTGGGCGCGGGCATTATTTACGCGGCCAGCTCGGAAGAGATTTCCACGAACCTCGGAGAGGCTTTCGAGGACTTCAACGACGCGAGCAGGGAATTTTTCGAGAGCATTGGCGACCGCCTCGTGGCCAAGCCCAAGGAGCCCTGGCTTCTTGACTTTGCCACGATGAAATATCCCGAGCATCTGCCGACACTAATCCTCGACCTTGACAAGGTCATCCTTCACCTAGATCACGACAGCCGCACGGGCTGGCATGTAATCAAGCGGCCATACGCCGATCAGTTCTTCAAAGAGATGCAGCACTACTACGAGATAGTCATCTTCTCTGACGACGTGTTTCCCGTTGCTTTGGACATCTCGACGAAGTGGGAGTTGCCTGTGACGAGTGTATTGCACAGAGATTTCTGCAAGAGGAAGCGCAGCCATTACGTGAAGGACCTGTCAAAGTTGGGCCGTAAATTGGACAAGGTCCCAATGATCGACCGATCACCGCTGTAAGGTACCTTGGCTATAGTTCGGCCGAGCGCGACATGTCATCGACCTTGATGGTCGGTGGTCGATGCTACGAGCCTCAACTGTGACGGTGTACCATGGACGATCGATCATCGATCGTCGTTGGTGTGATTTGGGCGATCTAACATGAGCCGGGCGGGACATGGAACGACGTCGACATGTCCTCTCTGCGCCTGGGGGGAAGGCAGAGGGAGGCGGTCTTCTCAAAAGTTTGCGGGTATCTTCAGGAGGCCCCGCCGCCTTCCGAGAAGCCCTCCGTGGCGTTGGAGAGGGCTCAGAAAACCTGTCAGATTGCGCCAGGGCTTCTTGGAAGCCCCACCGCCTTCGAGAGGGCCGGCCCCGAACATGCGAGGTCTTGATGTTCTCAATGAGCGGTCCTGGGAAGTCCCGGACCTTTCCACCCTTCCCCCAGAGCCAGTTTTCATCCAGCACCATTTGTTCACGGCCCCCGGACCGGCGAGGGCCCCCAGAGGCCGATAAATTCCAAATTTTCTTCGTCGTGGTTTTCCCGCGGCGCGGGCGTAAAAGATGCGAGGGCGCGAGCCTTCTCAGAAGGCTCGGAAGGCCTCCGGCCTGCTGAGAAGTGCCCAAGCCTTCCCTCGAAAGTCTCACACACCTTCGCAGAAGGCCAGAGGGCTCCTGGGAAGCCCCGCCGCCTTCTGCGAAGGCCTGCTTGCTGCCCCCCTCCTCCTCCTCCTCCTCCTCCTCCTCCTCCTCCTCCTCCTCCTCCTCCTCCTCCTCCTCCTCCTCCTCCTCCTCCCTCCTCGCTCCTCCTCCTCCTCCTCCTCCTCCTCCTCCTCCTCCTCCTCCTCCTCGGCGCGCCGGCGAACGTGGCTGCCGGGGAGACCTCGAACCCCTGGGACGTTCTCGGCGAGGCGCAGCCGCTGGAACGCACCCCGAGGCTGGAAGGCCGCCGAGACCCCGACGGGAACGCCCGACATCCGAGCATCGGACCTTGCAGCCTCGAAACGAGGCGGGAGAGGAGAAGAGAGGAGGAGGAGGAGGAGGAGGAGGAGGCGGAGGAGGAGGAGCGAAAACCTCGAAGCTCCCCCCTGGGCGCGCCCGGAAGGGCGGCCGAAGGTCGGATGAATTAAAACGAGACCGCTTCTGCCAGCGGAAGCCCGCGGAAGCAAATGTCGACCTACCAAGAGGTGACAACATTTTTGGGTTCGGTGTTTTCGGAGTCGGCCACATGTTCCCGGGTCGGCGCTGGGGTCTCTGGCGGCGTTTCCAGCGCCGCGCCCTTGGCGCGCTCCGTGCGCCAGGCACGAGGTTCAGGCGCTGATGCTAGAACCCCTCGCGTTTAGCCGCTGATGTTCATGTAGTTGTTTTCTCCTTTGCCCCCGAAGGTTCTGATGATCGACCACGACGAGGCCGCATTCCAATTGCAGCCGAAGAACGGCATTCCCATTTGTCCTCCTCCTCCGTCCCTACAATCGCTGGTCCCTCCAAGACATCCTGAATCTCAAGGATCCCCCTGGACACCCCTCGATCGCTTCGGGCACCCCTGAAGCCCCATCCGTATCCTCCCACTCTTCGGTATCCTCCTCCCCCCTCCCCCTCGGTATCCTCGTAAAGCCCCCCCCCCCTCTCCCCCTCGGTATCATCCCCCTCCCCCTCGGTATCCTCCCCCTCCCCCTCGGTATCCTCCCCCCTCATTCGGCGTCTTCCTCCCCCCTCCCCCCTCCCCCCTCCCCCACGGTATCCTCATAAAGCCCTTCACCGGCGACCCCAGTGACACAGAACTGGCCGACCTGATGGACGTCCTCAAGGCCGCGGCCACGGCGCCAGGAGACATTCGCCAGTTCGTGGAGAAGTTTGGCGGCGGGGACGAAGACTTAGGACCTGCGCGGAAAGATGAGGGCGTGGATGCGAGGGAGTGGATCAGGGGGAAGGCGGGGACGACGAGGTGGAGGTGATGGATGAGGAGGAGCAAGTGTTTCACACGTGGACGCCATCTGCCTGGAACCTGAGGGTCTGAAGGAAGAAGATGGGCAGAGAGGGAGGACCAGGAGGACGCAACGGAGCGAGTGCGGAAGGGTATGACGCAAGCCAAGATGAAGGGGGCAATGCTGATGCTGGTGGTGGAGGTGTTGGTGAAAGTCTTGGCAGTTCTGGTGATGATGATGATGCTGGTGGGAGGAGGAGCAGGAGGAGGTGGAGGAGGAGGAGGAGGAGGAGGAGGAAGAGGCGGAGGAGGGAGGAGGAGGAGGGAGGAGGAGGAGGAGGAGGAGGAGGAGGAGGAGGAGGAGGAGGAGGAGGAGGAGAGGGGAGGAGGGGAGAGGAGAGGGGGAGGGGGGAGGAGGAGGGGAGGAGGAGGAGGAGGGAGGAGGGAGGAGGAGGAGGAGGAGGAGGAGGAGGAGGAGAGAGGAGGAGGGGAGGAGGAGAGGAGGAGGAGGAGAGAGGAGGGAGGAGGAGAGGAGGAGAAGCAGGAGCAGGAGGAGGAGGAGGAGGAGGAGGAGGAGGAGGAGAGGAGGAGGAGGAGGAGAGGAGAGGGAGGAGAGAGGGAGGAGGAGAGGGAGGAGGAACAGGGGAAGGAGGATGGAACGGAGAGGGAGGAGGAGGAGGGAGGGAGGAGGGAGGTAGGAGGAGGAGGAGGAGCAGGAGGAGGAGGAGGAGGAGGAGGAGGAGGAGGAGGAGGAGTTGAGGGGGAGACTTCTCTTCCAGGGACGGTGGGCGCAGCGCTGCCGCAGCAGTCCGGAGTGCGCGCCGGCGGCCCCGCGCGATGGAGGCGCGCGTGCGGAGCTCGGAGCTACGAGACCCGAGCACACTGTTCGGGTAGGGCTCATGATGTTCCAACCTACTTCAGCCTCGATCGCCAGAAAGAATTCCGATCACCAGAAAGCTACCCCAAAGCTCGAGATCTTTGTTCACGCGTCGGGCCCTGGGAGACTCGTCCGACACTGTTTCGACACCCTTTCGGCACTCTTTCGACACTCTTTCAGGGTGCTCGAAATCATTTCTGGGATGTGGTCCGTAAGTACGATGGGAGCAACAGAAGGTCGGGCTCCTGCCCGGCTGGAACCAACAAGCCCAAGGCCCTCCTCGCTCGCTCGTCCAGCCTCGGAGGGACGGAGGCCAGCGGGGCGCCGCGGCACCAGCCTCTGTCGACATCTGAACACCCCGACCGCACGACGTACCCCACTACAGACACCGAGAGAGACACAACAACGGTGCACCTTCCCCCACCGACATACTTGCAACCCGCGGCACGATACAGCATGACCGGATCATCGACATTCGTCGGCCCGAGCTAGCGCAGAAAGCCTTGGTACGATTCAAGTGCCCCTACATGCAACAAGCGCCGCAATGCCGAAAGACAGCGTGGAGACGACGTTCAAGTTCTACCACACCAGGCACCAGCCAAGTGACTTCCCTCGTGATCGCTCCCTCAGCCAACTTCGACGCCAGGTGTGAGGTATCATCGTTCACCAATGCTAGCAGACGGGCTTCACACGTAAGGAGCATCCGCACTGCATCCCTTCTGTGCAGCGCTCATTCCCATCAATTGCCGTTCGCATCATGTCAAGTTGCAACGCGCCTAGTATTTTTGAGATTGACCAGTTTGACGAGTCATGCGCCCCACCAGTGACCATACATAACTACTCAACCAAACAATCCCGCCGAGAGCCTTCCGCGCCCTGAAGCCTTGACCTTGACCAACCATCGTCTGAACAACAAGCGCGTCTTGTTTTTGCCAGTGCAGTCATCGCCATTCAGAGTTGGAGGCGGCTATGGAGATAGAGGCGGTGTTTGATATACGATGTTCAACCCAGCAGTACTCAGATTTCAAACTCCTATTCCCCGCACTTTCAAGCTGCGCCCATTTTCAATCCAGCCGGACACAGCCACAAGCTAACATGGCCCTTCCCGTTTAGAGTTCGTTGCCCGTCCAGCTCACCAGCAGTAGTAACCGCGACCCCGGGATAATAAAGCGTACCCCCCTGTAGACTTGGGAGTTTGTTATCCCTAGCCAAGGCAGATTTGGTCGGGAGAGAGGGGTGGCAAGGTCAAACTTTATTATCGTGGGGGAAAGTTACGAAGCAAAGTTGCTATTTTCTCATGCTGGCTAGCAACATCATCAACAACGTGTGGCGGGCCAGCTTTAACTGATGATGATATCCGTGCCCGTACTCTGCACATTATCATCAGCAGCAGCATCAGCAGCAGCATCGCCATCACCATCACCATCATCATTATCAACGTCCTTTCTGCTGCGATCTCCGGGGACAATTTTAGTATCCACCCAGGACCTTGATTTCTATTATCGCCAGGGGGGGAATGTCAGGGGAAGTTGGTTACACGCTTGATTGGGTTGAGGATTGACGATGTACGGTAGATGGGTCGTACAGGAGATGCGTGGTTTTGCCTGCGCGGTAATGCCGGTCGGCTATCCATAGTATGTCGTTATCCTCCCTTTCCTGTCTTCTTTCGCGGGTTAATAGTATTATCATCATATCATTGTTTGTTGTCCTTCCTGTTACTTTCGTAGCTGACAGTTGGCAATAAGACCACGTCGCCTAAAGCGGATTATATTCACTTCGTGCTCGCCGCACAGACGTTACAGCTCCAGCCAACATTCGTCCGAGCAACGTACTAAAGCGGGGGGAGAGGGAGGACGGAATGGGAAGAGGAGGAGCAGGAGGTGGAGGAAGAGGAGGATTAATGAGGGCGTGAGGAGGAAGGGGAGCGAGAGAGATTATGAAGAGGAGGATGGAAGAGGACGAGGAGGAGACGAACGACGAGGAGAACGACGAGGAGGAGGGAGTCGGAGGTGTGACTGAGCCAAAGGAGGACAGAAAGGTTTGGGTCTGAACTATCCCCCCGCGCCAGGGCGTCGCTACCTGGTCCACAAGCAGGATCACCGGTCGAAGCGGAGCCCGCACCCGCACACCTGGACACTTGGAACCGGTTTGGGAAGCCAGCCCTCCGATTCGTACGGCAGATTCGCGCCGAGTTGACGCGGCGGCAACACCAGGAACGTGTTTTTGTTTACCCTCTGGGCCATAACGCGCGTTATGCTCCTGACCTCCCCCCCACCCCCCCCATGACGTAACGCTCCCCACACTGCCGCAGTGCGTCTGGCACCATAGCCTGGGGGGGGCGCTACGTTATGCCCCCTCCCGTCCATCCGCCCCTCCCCCCCATGCTGCCCGTCATGGCCGCGGATAAAGAATACGTTCCACCAGCTGCCTGAACGCGGCCATTACTCCACGATTTTTGATGTCAGAAAGCGGAGATGGTTTCTTATGGCCGGACGATCCACTAAGACCAGAAACCAGCGCCCACTTCGTCGCGACATGAATCTGTCCGAGCGGCCATGGGTATTCGGCGGACCCGGGCTGGTTACCCAATGTCATTCCAAAGGGCCTCGGGGCGGGGGTCTGGGGGCCCTGCTTCGATCGACTGCAGGAGCTGGATGCAAGATCGCAGAAGCGCAGGGGGCTCGGCCAGAAGATCGGGGGCCGCGGCGCAAACCTCTCAGCCGCCGCGGGCGGCGGTTTCGGCGGCTTCCCGCGCTGACCACAGCGGGTGTATTTTCGGGGCCGCCATAATCTTCCATCATCGTCACGTCCGCGTCATGCCAGCGTCGCGCTTTCACGCCTGCACCGACAGCGGCGGCGGCGGCGGCGGGGGCAGGGTCGATGATCCTCGGCCTGCGTCGGCCATCTGTTGCACCGCGTGCATCGTGTAGAAGGGCTTCGGTGGACAGGTGCACGTTGGCGCCTGCGCAAGTTCTGCGGCTCATCGAGATGGGGGTGGGGTCGGTGGCAGGGAGGGGGGGGAGGCTGCTGCTGGCTGGTCGAGCGCCAGTCGCGCTCGCGGAGCTCGGACCGCCCAGTGGGGAGCGGCCCTGACAGCCAAACATGTCCGATACCCTGGTCTTTGTGAAGGCGTGAGTGCTCACGAGATCTGGACCCCTTTGCCAGGGACCGGCTTCTCATCCCGAGCCGTGTTTGCGGCAGAGGAGGCACAGACATTGACTAGCGACGCGTGGATCAGCGACGGGGCCCGTTTCCGTGCGGAAGCCGTGTGCTCCGCTGCAGAAGCGGGTGGCGTTGGCCTCGCATTTCGGGAGTCACGCCCTCCTCCGCTCCGTGGTCCGCGCTCCACGGCCACGGATCCCCGACCCACGTTGGCGGATTTTCTTTTTATAAAATACAGTTACAAAATGTGTTATTATTCGAAATGTTGCATCGTCAAAAAATCGAAAAAACAAGATAATAATTGTTGTTTCAAGTTTTTTGCGAGAAAAAGATTAGTCGACTAGTTGCAAAACGAAACAAGAAAACAGAAGTTGAAGATTGTCAGACAAGCGTGTTTCGTTGTGTTTGTTTTGTTTTGCGACGCGAGTATGTCAGGGTCCAGGGTTACCCATCGGTTGTTGAACTCGGGTATCTTTGGACTCCCAGATTCTAGTCTACTTCAAGCGCCTTCCTACTTCAACGATAGAGTGGCTTCACCTTCTCCGTCGGACGGAACCCTATGCATTGTCAACGCCTTCCTATGT